TCATTAAAATACTTTCGTCCGCCATTCTACCTCCCTCATCCCTCGGCAATTTCCGACCTTGTCAGTGTGTGGGAAGCCGCCACCATTTCACGTGTTTGCAGTGGACGGCGGCGAGGAGCACGTGTGACTGCGTTTTGGACTGCAATGCACGTCGCTGATTCGTGGCAGAGGAATTAAGTCGAGCTTTTGTGCTTGACGGAGGAAGGAAGTCGGGCCTTTTGTGCTTTCAAGTTTGGATGCAGAAAAAAAAACGAATATTCACAAAGGGTCCTGTGGTACTTAATGTCCCCACTTCTCTACCCCCTCCTCTCTCTCTCTCTCTCTCTCTCTCTCTCTCTCTCTCTCTCTCTCTCTCTCTCTCTCTCTCTCTCTCTCCTCTCTCTCTCTCTCTCTCCTCTCCCTCTCTCCCTCTCTCCCTCTCCCCTCTCTCCTCCCTCCTCCCTCCTCCCTCCCTCTCCCCTTCCCACTCCCACTCCCACTCCCACTCCCAACCCTCTCCCACTCCCTCTCCACTCCTCCCTCCACTCCCTCCCCTCTCCCACTTCTCCCTCTCTCCTCTCTCTCCCTCCGTCTCCCACTCCTTCTCCCTCTCCCTCTCCCTCACCTCTTCATACGCAGGTATTCACTGTAATCCAACCATATCGATATCATATTTCAGTAACGTGATATAGATATAGCTGGTTTACACACACACGGATATATAGAGACATGTATGCAGGAATAAAAAAAATATACAGACATAAACAAATACGGAGATGATAAGAACAAAATAAAGGAAGATAGAAATAAAACAAAAAAAAAAGAGACAAAAAGAAAGGAAAAAAATAAAACAGAAGAAAGAAATAGAGAATAAGAAAAAAGAAGCGAAAAAGACAGAAGACCAGAAACAGAAGAAGGAACGATTGCGCACCACTCTATCTTCTTTACCTAGTTAGTAAAACAAACATGATGCATATTAAGAGTGTTTGCCTTTTCATTAGGTCCAGGGACGGTTTCAGGGATGGTGCGTTCGCGTATCCGCAGTCTAGACGAACGAGAATCAACATGTGGATGATCCAGGATTTTGGCGCGAGAATTATTCTGAAAATGAGTGTATTCGTAATCCCTCTTAAGAAATACGCATTTATTAATCTTATCTCTTTCATGAATGCGGGTGTGCTCCCGTAGTCCCTTGAATATATATTATATATATTATATATATATATATATATATATATATATATATATATATATATATATATATATATATATATATATATCTTATCTTATCTTATCTCTATGTCATGATAAAAGTGTACTCATGCCCCCCCCCCCTCAAAACAATAATCTTATCTCCTATCTCACTTTTTTCAACCCAAGTTCGTTAATCACGAAGTAATATAGAGAAAGACTTTTCCCGTTTTCATTAGCTGATTGGGGATGACTAACATAAATAGAACAGGAAAGCGGTCCAGCACCTGTCAGACGTATTTTACAGATGAAGGACTGCTCGTAAATATCTATTAGTTCCCCTCATAGGCTTTTTATTATTCATGCAAGAATAATCGATAAAGTAGATTTGGAGTTTACTGATTAAAGATAGGCGGGAAAGAATATTCCCAGATTAGAACGCTAATGTGTCTTCTTTTGTGAATACGGGACTTCGACATCAGGAATTCCAGGGCAAGCGAGGAAAATTTAAGCAGCTAGAACTAACTTTGGCGATTGCACGAAAGATAAAGGATAGAGAAAAAACTTCAATGTTGTTTGGACTTTTCTTTCGGTTTCCCCCCTTTTCCCGCCTTTTTTTCATTAAACTTCGAGTTTGTTTGTTTTTTGTACCCCCCTTTTCCCGCCTTTTTCATTTAAAATTTCGATTGTTTATTTTTTTCGGTTTCCCCCCTTTTACCGGCTTTTTTTTTCATTTAAACTTCGAGGATGTTTGAATTTTTTCGGTTTTCCTCCTTTTTTCCCGCCTTTTTTCATTTAAACTTTGAGGTTGTTTGATTTTTTTCGGTTTTCCTCCTTTTTACCGCCTTTTTTTTCATTTAAACTTTGAGGTTTGAATTTGTTTCGTTTTTTTTCCTTTTTTCATTTAAACCGAAGTTGTTTGATTTTTTTTTTTTTTTGGGGGGGGGTCCTCCTTTTTCTTTGTTCATATAAACTTCGAGGTTGTTGTTTTTCTAATTCTAGTAAGGCAAAGTAGTTTTTTTTTTTTTTTATCACGCTATAGTATTATTTAAAGAAAAAAAAAACACCTCAGTCCGTGTAAGGAAGCAACTGGAGATAAATTGGAAATATTTGAGATGTGTGCGATGACCGCAATATTGAAATAAAGAAAATGAATAGAAATATTTAAAAACAAATCACTTGCAATAGCAAATTCAAAATGGTTAAACACAATTTGAATAATAAAATGAACATTACAATTATTTCAGACAGCTAGGCAACCATTAACACCTACATGTCCAAAATTCGCATACCATCTAATAATCATTATTCATATATATTGCTTATGGCTATGACTGCCACAGATGAACACAATTACCTTTTGAATTTACAAGGTTTCTGGTATAAGGGAGGCAGGAGTTATAGCACTTTGTCATGCGTGACAATGTGGTAAATGTTGGTCGACCCAAGACATTTAGTAAAGAGGAGAGAGAGGTAACAGTGAGTAAATAGGATAACTGAGTAAATTGGATAACAGTGGGTAAATTGGATGACAGTGAGTAAATTGGATAACAGTGAGTAAATAGGATAGCAGTGAGTAGATTAGATGACTGAGTAAATTGGATAACAGTGAGTAAATAGGATAATAATGAGTAAATAGGGAACATTGAGTTTTATCTAGAAAGACGGATGGGCGGGCGGCGGAAAGGACAGAAAGAAAGGCAGATGCAGAGGAAGAGAGGAAGAGGATGAGGATGAGGGAGCGGAAGAGAGAGAGAGAGAGAGAGAAGAGAGAGAGAGAGAGAGAGAGAGAGAGAGAGAGGAGAGAGAGAGAGAGAGAGAGAGAAGGAGAGAGAGAGAGAGAAGGAGAGAGAGAGAGAGGAGAGAGAGAGAGAGAGAGGAGAGAGAGAGAGAGAAGGAGAGAGAGAGAGAGAAGGAGAGAGAGAGAGAGAGAGAGAGAGAGAAGAGAGAGAAGAGAGAGAGAGAGAGAGAGAGAAGAGAGAGAGAGAGAGAGAGAGAGAGAGAGAGAGAGAGAGAGAGAGAGGAGAGAGAGAGAGAGAGAGAGAGAGAGAGAGAGAGAGAGAGGAGCAAAGGAGAGGGAGGAGAGAGAGAGAGAGAGAAAGAAAGCGAAAGAGAAAGAGTGTACGAAAACAGGAAAGAGAGAGAGAGAGAGACAGAGAGCTTCTTTATGATATATACCCGACACCTCTTCGTAAACTATCCCCCTTCGTCACGCCCATTGCCGACGCCCATTTGTCACGTGCAGGCCAAGGAGTCACGCCCTTGGGTCTTACCTGATAGTACCGAGCGTTGCATAAGGTTAAAAAGGCGTGAATGAGAATGAATATATTCGAAACCGGTTCGGATACATGTCTTGTATTGTGAAGATATTCGTTCCCATTCATGGTTTTTTCTACGTTTGTCGACGTGAATGGGGTTCGTCGTTGTATGAGGGGGGGGGGAATAAACTAAATAAACGGATTTTCTTTGGGGGGGGGGGTTGATTGATATTTGCTGATTGGGGTGTTTGGTCGAAAGTTGTTCATTGTCGTATGACCTTGAATAAGGAGAGAAAATTGAATGTCGTATGTATGGTTGGGATATTGTTCACGCACGCGCACGCACACGCACACAGAAGCTACCTTTTTATTGTTTTCTCTTTTATCCCTTTAGTTACAAGCGATATACAGTATACTCATCAAGTAGTAAACCATGAATTATAGATACAAATGTTGTTGGTCTTTTTATCATCATTCTCATTCATTCATATCTTCATTGATTTTATATTCTTAAAATGATTTTAAACCACTGATTTTTTAAAGATAATAGATTCGTGTCTGTGTGTATCCATGTGCGTGTGCGTTAATGCGTGCATGCCTGCGTGCTTGAGTGAGTGAGTGTGTGTATGTATCCATGTATGTATATATATTTAATAATTATTCTTTGGACGCACGCAGACATTTTATACACCCTTATTTTGGTGCACACCTGCATTCATGTATCGCTTGCCCCAATGCCATGTCCTCCAGCGCCGCCCCTGAGATGTCGTCTAACCCCGCCTTCTCTTGCAGTACCCGGCGCACCTGGCTGCGGCTGCCCGGCGCCAGGCGGAGCAGCAAGAGCAGCAGGCGCCCAGGGTACTCACCATGGCCTCCCCGCCCCCTGCGCCGCCCTCTGACGGCGCCCGCACATACACCCTCACTGACGCCTCGGAGGAGCAGCCGCCCTCGCACCCCGAGAAGGAGGTCCTCGCCCGCCAGCAGAAGGAAGACAGCCCGCGACCAGCGCTCAGCCAGGTATGCTTGGAAGGTTTTTCTCTACGAACCACTGACATATTCCAAGAAATATGCTTTGATATGATTTATGTCTGTGTTCTACACTTATTATGATTTACCATTAATGGTGTCAGTAATTGCCCGATTGCCTAGACACACAGGCACTCTCACACATGTTGCCGGCACGGTTGATGCCGTTGTAGTTGAGTCCCGTAGTTTGTGACCGAGTGCACCCTGTGCCCGCAGGAGGGCTCGGGCGGAAAGGCGCCGCAGGGCGAAGAGGATCGCTTGTCCACGGGCACCTACAGCGTGCCCCCAGCTTCAGCACCCGCCACCTGCCCCTAACCCCGGCGCCGGCCACCGGTTGCCCCGTCCACGACCCTGCACACGCCCACAGCCACCCTCTCGCCCACGTCCTCAACCACAGCCACACAGCCTCGTCCTCGGGCGGAAGCTCCAGGTCCTCTGCCGCGGACTCCCAGCTCCTCCACTGCGGGATCTGCACGCGGCGCTACTCCAACCCCAAGGTACGTCTGCACCAGCGGCGCTTCCGCCGCGGGGAGCGTCCCATCCGCGGAAGGTATTGGGTGAGGCGCCACGTCTAAGTCCAGGGTGGCTAGAGTGGGTGTCTGTATTTAGGATATTTTCAGAGTTCCAAAAAAGATTGATTTTGGGCGAAAAGTATGGCGAAAAATGGGAGAACGACAAGAACATTACTGGAACGACATGACCTGTTGAATAATAATGCATAGTGTAGATCTGTGTCGGGGCGCTTATAAAGATACCGTCGCGCCGATCAAATATTCATAAACGTGTGACAGTGACGGGTGTCCCGGTGGCCAGCACGCGATGGCTGCCTTGTACTTCTGTCGCCAGATATTGATCGCAAGGCTGACTACCGCATGCACTCCCCGTCTCGGAAACGCGCGCCATACAAAGCAGGGCCCGTGGCTTTGCGAAGGACCTGCAGTTTGTTGGGAACGAGCGACTTAAAAAAAAATGGTTGTTCTCGTTCTTCCTCTTTTATTTCTTTGGCTTTCTTTTTTTTTTTTTGTTTTCACGTTTGGAATAACCCTCATTCAACAGCCTTCCCTCGACCATGCCCCATGAGCGAAGGTCAGAGTTCACGAAAGACCGACAGGGATGGGCATCGCAGGTGATAATCCTTGAGCTAAAGTCAGCCTCACGGGGCGATGCTGCGGGGGCCGCTGTGGTGGGCAGTGCCACCCTGTCCCCGGGGACGCTGCCACGCTCGTTAGTCAGCCTGACGTCACCCTTGTTGCTAAGATCGCGAGAGCAGCCTCGCCCTCACCATGCAGACATTGCGTCATGCAGCTGGAATACCCTCTTTTGTCATGCGTTGGATAAGGGAATGTGAGACGAACATGCTGATAATGAGGTTGATTGTTCTAAACAGCTGTAGCGTGCCTTGATGTCTGCCGTGGGAGTTGAATGAGTGTTTATGTTGTAAGTTATGAATTAGGACATGAGGTTTCCTCGTGTGGGCGTCCGCTGTAGTCTGAAAAGGTCAGGAATAAGCCATGTTAGGCTTAGTTAAAACTAGCCCATTGCCCTCACTAATGTCTTTTTTATTTGTGTGAGAATGCGCATAAGGATGTGTGTCTGTCTGTCTGTCTGTCTGTGTGATTGTATGTATGTATGTGTATCGGGATACCTGTGTCTGAGTGTACAGAAAGATAAATAGACCATGTTTAGTCAGAGTTATTAGCGAGAGAGAGAAATAGAGAGAGAGAGACAGAGAGAGAGAGAGAGTACACAGAGAGAGAGAGAGAGAAGAGAGAGAGAGAGAGAGAGAGAGAGAGAGAGAGAGAGAGAGAGAGAGAGAGAGTGAGAGAGAGAGAGAGAGAGAGAGAGAGAGAGAGAGAGAGAGAGAGAGAGAGAGAGAGAGAGAGAGAGAGAGAGAGAGAGAAAACGAGAGATAGATACAGAGAGAGAGGGGGAGGGAGGGAATGGGAGAGAGTATGAGAGAGGTGCCTAGGTTATATAGAAATCTAGTGATCGGGCTGTAGTGAATTCCCAGCATTTGCGAGGTATGTATGGATTTTCAAGCGTGCACCGTAAATATTTTTTATGGTTCCTGTATGTTTGTTTGGCTATGCCTGTTTGTCTATTTCTTTCAGTAATGTACGCGTGCATGTGTACAAAAGGACATAGCACATAGGCTAGAAAGTGAGGTAAGGTTCCGCAAGAAAAACACGCTTGTTTTCATACGAGAAGTTGTGGGGGCGACCGCATGAGGGCAGGAGGGAGAGGGGAGGGGAGGAGGGAGGGGAGAGAGGTGAGGGGATGTAGGGGAGCGAGTGGCACTGAGGGAGAGCGGCGAGACACGCACTAGTAGGAGCTCGTCCGGTGTGCGCGTGTGTGCGAGCGTGTTCGTGGTCCCGCGCGCGTCTAGTTTGTCTCATAGTCCTGTCTGTCGTCTTTGTCTACTCTCAGTCTGTGTCTTCAGACGTGTGTTTGTGCTGTCCTGTCCACGCTCATATAGTGCTTCATCTCCCCCCGTGTCTCGTTGCTTGTAGGTCTAGACTATCTGTCTGTATCTGTCTGTCTACTGTCTTACAATCGGCTGTCAGCTACGAGCATTTCATTTTTTCTGTGACTGGCTTGTCGTTTCGTATTTTTTCCTCTCAACTCCTATCCTGTCTCAAGCTGGTCTTCATAGCGATTTTCTCAGAAGAACAGCGGTTGGCTGCCCTGTTTGTCTGTGCCACGTCCAATCCCTGTCTACCCCTTTGCTTTGTTTTCTCCCTGCCCCTTCCCCCTTGGAGCCCCTCCTGTTCCGGCGGCTGATACCTGAGTGAATAGACGGCGCTGTAGGCGGGACCCGCACGTGGCCGCTCGCGAACGAGGGAGGAAGTATCGGAGATTGTCGCGAGAAAGGAAGAGGAATTAGGCAAGGTCTTTAAAGGATATGTGACGTGCACACTGGGCCACGCGTGTCCCGAGGAGTATTTCGAAAGACGAGAGGTGTAAGCTTCGGCCAGTGACGAGAGATTAGGAGGGTTCTGGCCCCGTGTCTCCCCGAAGTGCCACGCATGTCACTGCTAAAGGTGAT